GCCATTCCATTTGTGCTGTTATGCATACTGACATCAGCAGTACAACAAGGAAAGAGAAGATCACAATTAGAGGTAGAGAATACCAAAAACGTTTCTGATCGTACTCTTGTCACCCGTCAAGAAGTCCAAGAAGAATCCGAGAGCCATATCAGGATTGATATTCTTCGTGTCTATATAGTCTACCTTTGTCCTTGATATCTGGACTGTAAACAAGTCAGGCTTTTTAAGAGATAAAAGTATTTGATAAGCATCGCCATTATCCTCAAATGTTAAAACTTTATCACACCTCTTCCATAATTTCTGGATGAAAACCACACTCCAATTGAGCTTTCCAGTTAACCAAATCGAGTCGGGAAACAAAACTGCAGCCACCATATATGTTAAAACAATTAGAGATCAATGAACAAAGTGGATGAAGAAAGCTAATCGCCTCCGTACCTTTCAGGGTAGAAATTATTGTTTCCCGAATCATTTTGAGAATCTTTTCCGGATAGCTTGCTTGAAGTAATGCCTGCCTCTGCCAGGGCTGAATGAAAAATCGAAAAAATAAAAATCAGTTACAGAAGTTCTAATAAACTACTAAACCAAAGTAGAAATGTCTCTTATCGATATTTACCTTGAATGTACTCGAAGTCAGGGTCTGCGGTATTTATATCGTCAAATGCAGGAATTGAAGAGCCAGCTAAAGCTACTGCTGGCACAATCCTGTGCATTGGATTTCTAAAGGCAAGAGAAACACATTGTGTCAGTCCACCACAAACGCTAAGAGACTTTCATGTTCGGAAAAAATGTGCTCCAAGTATCATTACCTCTCTAATAACAAATTAGAACGAACTAGCCATCTAGCATACTCTCGCCTAGTACACAACTCGTCTGCCACTACATCATCTTCAATTATCTGAACAACTTAATTACAAGTAACATGGTCATGATCAGAGCTGGACAACTAAGGCTCAATTCAAGTTGTCGTATGAGAGCACGTATCTCGAAACAAACCTTTAGTTTCTTTAAAACTGCTATTGCTTCTTGTTGAGCAGCATCCACAGCAACCGGAATGGTGACACGGTGGGTTTTTCCGGTTGATGCTATAGCGGAAAACACAAATTAAGACTTGTTAAAGCAGTAATAACTACAAGTTATAGATTCTTTCACACTCACAAGTCACAAATTAACCAAGATGAGAACTTACCGGTGTCAACAGTATCTGAAACATAGTCAACGCTATCAGAGTTAGCCTCAGAAACAGAATTGTTCTCATCATTGAGTAGAGTTTCACTCTCTTCATTAGCATTCTGATCCAATTCCACATTCTGATAATGCAATGGATTACTAAAGCAAAATCTAAAACCTGTCAAAGAAACAACAAACCCCAAGAATCTCAGATTAAAACCATAACTACAAAATTCAATTCATCATCACTGGCAAAAACAAAAGAGTTAAGAATTGTTCTTGAACCTTTTCTGGAGATTGAGAAGTAAGCAATAGTAGCTAATACAACAGCAAGTGACGATCCAACACCAGTGATTACAACATTCCTCCACTCTAAACCCCAAAACAAAACACATTCAAATCAAATTACAAACGCAAAGTTAAGAACTTTATTCAAAAGTACTAACTTTTTTTAGTTTTCGAATGAGGAGAAGGAGGTTCTTCATCTTCAACAAGAGCCCAACCACCATATTTTTCTTTAGAAGCTTGAGAAACCCATGAAGTACCAGAGAGAGACGCGACGATGCGGAATCTTGGTGGTTTGTGAGGAGGAACGAGTAATGGGAGAGTGAGACGATGTCGTATAAGTAAAGGTGTGATTTTTGGGAAGAGGAAGGATGAAGTTGGAGACTTTTTAACGGAGAAAGAGCTCATTTCTTGTCTGGAGAATTAGGGTTTTTCTGGGTGGATGCTTCAATGATCAAAGAAAAGCAGCTAGAGAAGATGGGGAAGAGCTGGTGGGATTTTAATCTCATCGGCCCCATGTGGTAGAATCAATTTCTACTTAGCCCTTGTTATAAAATAAAATTATACAGGAATTAAATCTCTCTAGCCCCTTTTCCTCCAAACATTCTTTCAAAAATCCTCACTTATTCTCACTACTCCTCTCCTTCCCAATACATATAAAAACCAACTATACCCTTGCTTTTTATCCAATTTATTTCTACATTAAATTTTATTACCAACAAATTCTTAAAAGCAACCAATCATATTCATTCTCTCTCCTCTCTCATTAACTACCAAAAACCTTAAAAAATGAGATTATTCTTCTTCTTCTTACGACATATTTCCTCTCCTCTCTTCTTCTTTTTTTTTCTTCTCCATCTCCAAAGACATATCTCATCTCTTCTTCTTCTTCTCCATCAAAAAACTTAAAAAAATCAAATTCTTCTTCTTCTTACGATTCAAACATCTTCAATGACATATTTCCTCTCTATTTCTTTTTCTCCATCCACCATTAAAGCTCGTTGTTTACTTCTTCTTCTCTATCCACTAGTAAGTATACTTGTTTTTTTAGTGAATTATGATTGAGAAAAGTTGAATTCGTAGCTTGAATGCAGTTTTTGGTAGAAAAAATTGGGAATTGTAGATTTGGAACAACTGAAACCATTAGGTACAACTAAGTATAATATTACCGAAACCCTAAATTTGGTGCAATTGGGACAAATGAGTACAACTATGTTGATGGACTGCTACGAAAAATATAAAATTATAGACCATTTTCTTTCTCTCTTTCTTTTTCAGGGACAATAAAAAAGAATTCAGTCATGCGCTTTAATTTGCTTGTGCTTATGCTTTGGAGAACATAGAAGAAAATGAGGTAAGAAGAGGTCGAAGAGGCCGAGTAGTTAAGGCGAGTGGTTTACCAATGATGGTAACAATGATGGTGACGTTGATGGGACGATGAGGGTGACCAAGGTTGATTTCTAAGTGCCATTATTAGGATGATTTAAGAAGCGATGTTGTTTGTATTGGTTTTGTTTGTGAAACTTACTTGTTCTGTTTCGTACAACTAAGTTTTAACAGATACAACTCTGGTTGATTTTTTTATCGTATCTATACAAATTAAATTGTTTTGTCTTGGTGCAACTAAGTACAACCTGTACAACTAAGGTCTATTGCCTTGGCTAGTTTTCAGAGTTTTATATAATATGAAAATTTAAAACCAAATAAAAAAATCTTAAAAAATGCATACTCGGTGGTAATGAAACTACACAAGAAGTTTTTGACAAAAAAATTCATATTTTCCTAAATTAGTGAAATTCTTATCACAAAATCTCACATTCATACACTAACAACCTTATACTTCCATTGTTACTTTGTAGATTTGAACTAAAAATTTTTAAATTTTTGAAATACTTGTATTTTGATAAATATAACTACACTCATACAAAGAAATGGTATTTTGATGAGACAATACCATCGGTTCCACCCACAAAAATTAATTTAGAGTTGATAACAACTAGATTTACTAAATTCTCGATATTGTACAACTATGAGCAAAAATGTGCAACCGAGTACAACTGTACAACTATGAACAAATTTTAGATATTTATGTTAGATATTTCTCAGATATTTTTAGATATTTGTAGATATTTCTTTTATTTTTTATTTTAATCAAAATACTTAGATTCACCAAAAAAAAAAAAAAAAGTAAAATATTTTTTTTTCAACACTATATATTTTTTAACATACTTAGTAGATTCATAGTGTTGTTGTGAATTTTTTGATCAAAACACTTTGACTCATAGTTTTTTGGTGATTTTTCTGTCAAAAAAACTTAGATTCATACAAACCCAGATACATAGTTGTACATAAGTGTACCAGTTGTACCTAAACACTTAGATTCATACATAACATTAGAAACCAAAACACATCTGAACACACCAAGTCTTCTTCTGCTTCTTCTTCTCCTTATCCTTCTCTTTCTCCTTCTCCTTCTCAGTCTCAGTCTCAGTCTCCTTTTCCTTTTCCTCCTCTCGTAATAGAGAAACAAATGTTATAGGCTAATATATACGTACAAAAAATTTCATCTATGTCTGCAATCCACTCCTTATTAACTTACTTGAAACCAGATTTCTTCCAAAATTGACCAAGAGAAATCAATCATTTTAAGAAGAGTTTACAAACAAAGTTACAACTTTCACTCAATATCTCCAAATAAAAACAAGAAAAAGTAGCTACATGTCGTCCGAATTTCAAACCCGAATTGTAATTCAAATCCTATTAGTAATCTTAAAATCCGAACTGTAATCATAAAAAATCCTAATTGTAATCGAAATTCCATTCAAAATGCATTTGTTTCAAACAAAATCAAAGAGAATTACATATCAAACCCTCACATAGAAGAATAAATTGGAAGAAATCAAATCCTAATTAAACCCAACACAATAAAACAAAATTAGGGATCAAACAAATGAAATCTTACAAAGAGAAGACACGGCGGAGTTCTCACGGCGGATTTCTCACGGCGGATTTCTCGATTTCACTGCGAATTTCTCACGAAGAAGAAGGGAGAGGACGGATCTTTGGATCGATAGAAACGAGTGAAGAGGGAAGATGAAAAAGATGAATGAGTATCGATGGAATCGAGAAAAGAGAGAAAAAAAAAGAAGAAAAGAGATTGAAAGCTTTGTGTTTGTCGGATTGTTGACTCGAGACAGAGAGAAACGAAGAAGATGAAAAAGTCGTAGAGAGGAGAAATAAAAAAAAGGTGATTTGGAAATTAGTGTTTGGATTGACTTTAGGGATAAAAGATCCGAAAGTCATATGGATCTAGATCCAACTGACTGGTTGGGTCGTAAATAAGTGAAAATTCCTTGTTTTATTTGTCTTTTACTATTTTTCTGAATTAAAATAAACTATTAACTATATTAATTTTATTACGGGGGCTAAATGGAATGGATTTTGAGTACAGGGGGCCGACTAGATTAAAATCCAATTATACAAGTGTTTATTTTAATTTGAAATATTAGTAAAAGACAATTATATCCCTACCAAAAAAAAGTAAAAGACAATTATATTGAGGGTTTTCGACTTATTTACTGACTCAACCTATGTTTGGGTCAAATATCCAATAGTATTGGGCTTAATTTCGGATCTTTCTCTTATTTCTCAAACAAACCCTAATTCCCAAAAACGACAATCCTCCCTCCCACTCTCGACAGTCGGTCGTTTTCTTTTCCTCTCTACCGGTGACTGAGATTTTCCGATTTCATACTCCACTCCTTCATCTTCTTCTTCCAAAATTTCGTTTTCTTCTTCTGGATCCTCTTCTTCTTCTCCTGTATATCTTGTTTCAGTCGATACCATCTTCTTCCTCTTTCCTCTTCACTCGTTTCTCCGTGAATCTGAGATAGCCACCGTGAATCCGAGAAATCCACCGTGAAACCGCGGTGAGAAATCTCTGTGTCTTCTCTTTGTAAAAATTCTTTTGTTTGATCCATATATTTCGATTGATCCGAGATATGGTTTGATTTTTTTCTTTGAGCGATTGATTGTGTTGTGTTGGGTATAATAATGGTTTGATTTTGTTTGAAACAGATGGATTATGAATGGGTTTTCGATTGAATTTGTTTTTTTTTTCTTTTTCTTTGAGGGTTTAATAAGGATCCTTCGATTGATTGTGTTGTGTTGGGTTTAATTGGATTCCGGTTTAATTAAAGTTTGAAACAGATGGATTAAGGTTTCTTTTGTTTGAGTGTGTTGGGTTTTGATGATTTATGGATGGATTGTGTTGGGTTTTGATGATTTATGGATGGATTGTGTTGGGGTTTGAGGATTTTGATTTGTGGATTGATTTTCAGATTTCAATTTGTCTTGTTTTCGGATTTGAATTTGTCCAAATGTTCGATCTTGAATTTCTCTATATATTTCGGATTTGAATTTTTCATTTAGATAGATACAAATAGTGTGTTTCGGATTTTTTGAAATTTGTTGAAAAATCCAAACTTTATCTCTTGAGATTATGTGAGTTTGAGTTTGTGTAAGTAGATAGATATTGAATTTGTATTTGTTGTTGCAGGTTGGTTTACAAAGGCTATTACCATAGGAAGAGCTTCTAGTTCTAGAAGTGAACCATCTTGTTCTAGAAGTGAATAATCTGCCGAGCTTAGAAATCCCAAAAGACAAAGGCAATCGTATCCAAAGCATTCAGAGACAGCAGCTGCAGAGGATGATGTCATGGAAGATCAATGAGTCGAACCGTCTTTGGAGAATGTTTAGGTACAACTGGTACGATTAGGTATAACTATGTTTCTGGGTTTATGTTTTTTGATTATGTATGAATCTTATTATGGTCTCTGATGTTGATGTATAAATCTAAGTCTTACTTTATGAAAAAAGAAGAAGGAGAAAGAGCCTTATTTTGGTCTCTCATATTGATGTATAAATCTAAGTGTTTAGGTACAACTGGTACGATTAGGTACAACTATGTTTCTGGGTTTATGTTTTTTTTATTATGTATGAAATCTTTGAATCTGATTCTAGTTATGTATGAATCTTTTAATCTGAATCTTAATATTTTTATGTATGAATCTATGTATTGAATATAATCTAAGGGTTTTGAACCAAAAAAAAAAAAATTCTAAATTAATCAAAAAATTTGACAAATATGTAGGTTTGTAAGGGTTTTGGAAAAAAAAAAAAAAAAAGTGAATCTAGTTGATATTTTGGTATACCTGGCGCCGTTATTTTAAAAAAAAACTGACAAATGGTATACCTGGCGCCGTTATTTTGAAAACAATCATTAAATAATAGCTCAAATTTGTTCATAGTTGTACAGTTGTACTCGGTTGCACATTTTTGCTCATAGTTGTACAATATAGAGATTTTAGTAAATCTAGTTGTTATCAACTCTAATTTAATTTTTGTTGGTGGAACCGATGGTATTGCCTCATAAAAATACCATTACTTTGTATCTGTGCATTTATATTTATCAAAATATAAGTATTTCAAAAATTTATAAAATTTTAGTTCAAATCTACAAAGTAACCATGAAAGTATAAGGTTGTTAGTGTATGAATGTGGGATTTTGAGTAAGAATTTCAGTATTTTTTTTTAAATATGAAATTTTTTGTCAAAAACTTGTTGTGTAGTTTCATTACCATTGTGTATGCATTTTTTAAGTTTTTTTAATTTTGTTTTAAATTTTCATATTATATAAAATTCTGAAAATTGGCTAAGGCATTAGACCTTAGTTGTACTTGTGGTACTTAATTGTACCCAGACTGACAAAATTTGCACAGATACGAGAAGAAAATCAACCATAGTTGTACTTGCTAAAACTTAGTTGTACAACACAGAACATATAAGTTTCACAAACAAAACCAATACAAACAACATCGTTTCTTAAATTAACCTAATAAATAGCACTGAGAAATTAACCTTGGTCCCCCGCATCGTCTCCATCATCGTCTCCATCAACGCCCAAACCGCTCGATCCATGCGACCTCTTCTTACGTCCTCTTCCTCTATGTTCTCCAACGGAGGGGAATCTTGTTTCTTGTCTTCCTCCTTGTTTTACCTCATAATCCGGAGGATATGCAAACAGTTGCATTATCTCCTCAGGAAGAACCCATTGACTGTTATGGGAACCGGATAAATTGTCCTCGTATACGCCAAAACCCAAAGCTCGATCCAATAATACTTTGAGCACAAATCATGTGCCCAAAGATCGGGAGTATGACTGAATTCCTTTTCATTGTCCCTAAAAAAAACAGAGAGAAAAAAGGGCCTATAATTTTATAATTTTCGTAGCAGACCATCAACATTGTTGTACACATTTGTCCCAGTTGCACCAAACTTAGGGTTTTCGAAAATATTCTACTTAGTTGTTGTACCCAGTGGTTTCAGTTGTCCCAAATCTGCAATCCTAAAATATTTCAATAAATAACCCTATTCGAGATACGAATTCAACTTAATCATACTACACTAAGAAAACAAGTATACTTACCTTACAGTATGGTGGGAATAGAAGAAGAAGAAGAGAAGAGATATGTCTTTGGAGATGCAAGCTTTAATGGTGAGCTTCAATGGTAGATGGAGAAGAAGAAGAAGAAGAAGAAGAAGAACGCCGGAGCTGCAACGTCGGAGCTGCTGAAGAACGTCGGAGCTGCAATGTCGGAGATGTTGAAGAAGAAGAAGAAGAAGGTCTCGTAGGTTTATTGTCGTAAAAGGTGAGACATTTAGTAGGTTTGTTTTTTTTAATGAGAGAAGAGAGAGAAAGTTTTTGATTGGTTAAATAAAAAATGTGTTGGTATTAAATTAAATGTAGAATTAAAGGGATAAGGGGTAGAGTTGGTTTATGGAAAAATTGGGAAGGAGAGGGGGTAGTGAGAATAAAGAGGGGTTTTCCAAAAATTGAATCTTCCCAAAGGGGCTAGAGATATTAAAATCCGAGCTGGTGTGGTGTGATACAGCAAAATTATCCTTCTAATGAATCAGAGGGTTTTGGTTTATGTTTATTCTCCGATTTAGTCTCGGTTCAATCATTATCCTCCCAAAATAGTTAAAATGCCAGTTTTTTTTTGTCGTAATTAGAGATCAAATGAGCCATTTTTCAGGAATATTGTTTACATATATGATATGTAGCGGTTCTGTAAGAATTTTTCGTGCCAGATTGTCTACTTTTACATAGCACTATGAGAAATTAAAGATAAAGAAACGGTTGAGAATTCTTTCTTGTCGCTCTGAGATTTCTCCAAATACACTGAAAACACCAGCTATTCGGTTGGAGAAGATACCATCTTCACCAGATCAGAACAGTTTGTAAAGAACACTACCTCTTGATTATCCGCACCAATCATACACTTCATCGTCCAAAGAAGGGCCTCAACTTCTGTATGTAGTGGAGATAACCTTCTACGAAGGTTGGCAGCTCCCATGGTTGGCGGCTCTCTATTTAATGATATACAAAACCACCATGTACCGGAGAACTTATCACTTTCTTTCCATGATCAATCCACAAAGCAACGGTGTCCAGAATAATTCGAATCAAGTGAATAATCTCTCACTCGAGACCGAGTTAGCAAATCCACAGAACCATGCTTTTCATTATGAAGCTCGATTTGAGCTGATTGCCACAATTGTGCCTCTTTTTTCGCAAACTATAATACCTCTAACGGGTCTTTGTCTATATTTTCAAAGATTTTTGCATTCCTTACTTTCCAAATATACCAGATAATCCATGGAAAGACTGATGAATCCAATTCCGAAGGTATTCTCCAGAATAAGTGATCCAGATTCGCAAAAATAGATTCCGTGGGAAAATTCTCCATAGCCGTAGAAATCTTTGAAAGCGCCCAAATCTGTCGTGTCAGGTGGCACTGAAAGAGTGTATGATTGATTGTTTCCTCTGATTCGCTATATCTAGCACATCGTTTGTCACAATCAATTCCTCTTTTCTGCAAATTCTCCATAACCGGTACATAACCCGTTAAGATTTGCCACAAGAAATGGCGTACCTTAGGTGGACACTACATTTGCCAAGAATGTGCTTTTAGCGGTTTTATGTCTGGGCCAATAAAAGATAAATTGGTCTCCGACTTTTCTATCCGTGTAGTGTGATATCCCGATTTGACTGTATATTTTCCTGATTTTGTAAAATGTTAACCCAGAGTATCTTTCTTAGTTGGCGAGCCCACATGTAGGACACTTATTAGCTCGACATCTTCTGGATCAAAGATCGTCTAGATAGGCCTGAGATTTATATCTGTTATCCGCGGATATCCGTATTCATATCCGGTTTTTTATCCGAAAAACGGATATCCGGCCAAACGGATACGGATACGGATACCAAAATGACGGAGATTCCGGATACGAATACGAATACGAATAATCCTAAAATTTGGGTCGGATAACGGATATTCGAGGTATGTTTAGGCCCATATAAGATTTTGTAACTTAAAGGCTTTATGACTTATTATTTAGGTATTAAAGCCTAAAAATAATTGTAAGCCCAATTTTTTTATTGTTTTTATTTTATTTTTCATTGTTAATAAATAATATATCTACTTAAAAATAGAAAAATAAAAAGTTGAAGAAGTAGATACGTGTATATTAACATGTACTCCCTCCGTTTCATAAAGAATGTCGTTTTAAGGTTTTATTTTTGTTTCACAAAGAGTGTCGTTTTAGGTTTTCAATGCAAAATTTAATGATTTTTTATGTTTTATGACTATTAGTATTATGCATATTGTTTTTACTATTGGGCAGATTATGTTTAGGTATATAGTTAAGGAAAAAAGATACTCAGCTACACGAAGTATGACGGAATACATGGCTACACATGCCAAGTTTAAAAATGTACAACCAACTACACGAACTAAATGTATTACATGCCCACATATACCAACTATATGACGACATGTGCTTAACATCACGAACATTTATTCCGGTACACTAATCAACGAAATCCGGCGTTGACCATTGTTGACCGGTATTGACCAACAAAAATATTCAAAATTTTTTTTAGTAATTAGTTAATTTTTTTAGTAAATATTCAAAAAAAAAATTTAGTAATTAGTTAATTTTTTTAGTATTGACCGGTAGTGATTTTAATAATTAGTTAATTTTTTTAACTTCAAAAATCAAAACTAAACTAAAAGTGAAATGAAATAAATATTATTATTTTTTTTAGAAAAATTGAGTATATGACTCTTTAATCTAAAGTTTGCATGTTTAAAAAATATTAAGTTTTTTTTGCTAAAATCAAAATCATAATACATAGTTAAAAACATAGAAAATTTTACATACTCTTTAGTCTAACTTTAATATATTATTAATTTATGTAATTAAAATTATTAAAAAAAAATTCGCAATAACGGATAAATAACAAAAAAGGTCGTAATTTGTTTTTTTTAATATATAGCAAATAAAAAATCTAACGATATTGATTTTAGCAAAAAACATTTATAAAATAAGAAGTTAATGTTTTTATTGACAATGTAAAAATAAGGAATTCGCTTAATTATTTTTATTTCACTTTTATTTTAGTTTTGAAATTGAAAAAACTAACTAATTATAATAATCAATTTATTAAATATATATACAAAATTTATTTAAGTTGAATATACTATATAGAATGTGTTTTCCTCTTTAATTATACAATACAATAAAAGATTTAATAGAATAATTTTTTGTTTTTGTTTTTAATATTAAAATATAAAAAAAATTGAATATTTTTGTTGGTCAATACCGGTCAACGATGGTCAACGCCGGATTTCGATGATTAGTATACCAGAATAAGATGTTCGTGATATTGACCACATGTCGTCATATAGTTGGTATATGTAGGCATGCAATACATTTAGTTTGTGTAGTTGGTTGTACATTTTTAAACTTGGCATGTGTAGCCATGTATTCCGTTATATTTCGTGTAGCTGAGTATCTTTTTTCCTATAGTTAATGATGTTTTTGTTTAGAAAAAAC